ATTTTACTAATTTTCATGACTTTTCTATATATATATATATATATATATATATAATGGGTCTTATAATGGGCGTTTGGTTTGACTCTGTCTGTTTTTGGCGTCGTGTCTCCAGTTTCTCCACAGATGATGACAATGACACTGAGGTGGAGGCCATAGATGTGGACACAGAGCTGAGTTTGGTGACGGAGTGCTGGGTGGAGCCTCAGAGCGGAGCCGTCTGTAGCTCACTGGAGCAGCAGAGACACTTTCATCAGCTCACCTACCAGGAGATCCCTCAGGCTGTTAGTGACAGCATCATGACTGCCACCTACATGTGACATGTCACAGAAAATAAACAAAAAAAATCTAAATATCATAGATAAATACAATAGATACCAAGTAATTATACCTATTTTACAAAATCTGGGACTTGACTGTGGTTAGTAATGATATTAGCTTTACATGACTCATTATAATATTATTGTCATTGAAAAACTTGCAGGTTTTATTAATATTTTGAATTCGTTTTTTATTATATTTACCATTTTAATTTTAATTTGAGTTTTGTTTAGGTTTTGTTAGTTTAGTACAAGAAGTTAAAAAAAGAGAAATGTTGCCTAAAATAAAACTGAAATACAATTTATATATATATATATATTATTTCAGTTAGTGTTTATATTATTTCAAGTAATGAAAACGTTAAAAACTAATGTATAAATAAATAAATAATTTAACTTATTTAATTTCAGCTAGTTACCAAAGAAACATTTCTCATTTTTGTTTGGTTTAAGTTGAAGTACTAAAAAAAAAAAAACTAAACACTAAAACATAATAAAAGCATAATAGATATAAAAAATAAAAATAAAAGTTACAATATCGCACAACAAAATTACTAAAACTTTACCTAAAATTAAAAAGAAAACGGAAAATATAAAAGTAATATTTAATTCAAAATACTAACAAAAACTTTTTATATATATTTCATATACGTTTCTTTTCTTTAGAATAATGCATTGGTGAATTCTTCCTAATAACACCAGGAAGATTTTGTAAGAACGTAAATAGGGTCGGTTTTGATTGCATAGTGTATTTAGGCATTTTTACTGAGATCTGACAGTCAAAGATTATGAATTGTGTATTTTTCCGTTCCAGATTTTTCCCCGTGATCTGTCATGCATGACGACGATGATCACGTTTGAATACCTCATCCAGCTGTGTCAGAATAAAGAGCAGGTGTGTCCTCTCAGAGATGCTCCAGGTACGAACGCGCACCGTCACCCGTCTCCTTACACACAATCGTATGAGATCTGATGCTCAGTGTGATGTGTTGCCTCTGTAGGCGAGCTCCCCGCCGCTGCTGCTGATGACTGCATACACACTGTGCCTTTCCAGTTCGACCTGATGAAACTCTTGCCCAAGTGCCAGCAGATCGAGCTCTTCTTCTACACCTTCAGCCGAGGTACGAGTCCATCCTCCATCCACCCCAACTAGAGGTCTGCTACCTCTGGGTTAATGTTTAATGAATAGCTTCGGGTTCGGGTCAGGTCCGGGTTTGTAGCTAAACTAAAACTATATGCAGTAGGCTACGCTGCTTTCATAGACGCACGCACACACACATTATTGCAGACAGATATCTGAGATCGCGCAGCGCACACACAGCATGGAAACTTTTATTAGTAAAATAGCTTCGATAGGCTACTGACTCGCAACGTTATATTTCTCTGCAATGAGGGGGTAAAATCGCTGTTTTTGAAGTAACTAAGCCTCATTGCTTGTAGAGAGAGACGCGCGGATGCAGGTTCACACACGGTACTTTCGGCCCTCTCTCTCTCTCTCGCTCTCTCTCAATTTTCAATTCAATTCAAAATTGCTTTATTGGCATGACTGTAAATGATACAATATTGCCAAAGCTTAGTATACATGTACAAAAAGATAAAAAATAATAC